CTCTCTCTCTCTCTCTCTCTCTCTCTCTCTCTCTCTCTCTCTCTCTCTCATATTGTTGTTTGTCTGTTCTTCAGGCAGGCAGACAAACAAAAGGACTGAGACTGATTAAGATGAGCTGAAGGTTTCTATTTAATTTAAATTTTAAAAAAACATGGAGCAAAGGGAAACATACTGGCATAATTTTTATGCGACACAATCAGTCACATGTTGAACCTTTGACGTTCCTCGGGTTGGATTTCCAAACGTGGTGAAAGTGAGATAGATGTTGTGAATGTCATTCGGTGCTTCATAAGCCCCGCGAAAGCGATTAACAGCATCCATGAAGTGATTCGGTTTTACTCTTGTATTATTTGGAAGATTTACCCAGATGACATACTTTTAACAACGTGGGTAATAATGACATTTGCTTTGCTGTCAGAGAATATTGCATTTTTGCTGTTTCTTAAAGATAGTTTCAGCATTATTCAAGAGTCTAATGTGACAACTCATTATTTTCCTGTGTTTGCTTGTGTGTAAGTGTGACTGTGGGTGTGTGTGATTTTCTGAGTGTGAGACTTTGGTGTGCACACACCTTTGAAAAGCTTCTTTCTTTCTTTCTTTTTTTTGCGACATGAATGAATGCACCTCACACTTGGAGGGATACTCATCTCAGCCATTACTTTCCCGCCTCAAATGGAAGCTGTTCTCACACCGGTGTTCATACGTAAAGAGGACGAGAGAAATCAGACCGCCTCGAGAGACGGGAGGTAACACAATACAATGAAAATGACATGCTAGGTAGACTCATGGGGGGGAGGAACATGTTTTCAAAGTGCCACCTCGTGCAACCAGAATTCACCGTCAAAAGAGAAATCCTAATCAAGGTTCTTTTAAACACGACTGAAATCTGTTTAACCTTTCAAAACCATCTTTCAGGCTGCAATTAGAAGCATAATTTTCATTGGTTTAAATATAAGACTATTTAGGATATTCATTCACATTGGTAAATTCCTATTTTTTATTTTTGTTCTTTACTATATCCTCCAAAAACCGAAGCAAGCAGCAAAAGCGTGTGACACATTGACACAGCGGGGGCAGAAAAGAGATGCATCTAGCAGAGTGTGACATTTGGCTGGGACGCGAGTGTCCCACTTCTAAGAAAACCCAAAGGASAGCTTTTAGCTGGAGCTCCTGAGGCTGAAAGTAAAGGAGGGTTAAAGACAGATAAAGACGAGGGATTACAAGGATTTGCTTCCATTTCTTCTGGTTATTCTAATTACTTGCATAGTAACATTGTATTGGCTGTGGAGCACAATGAGGCTCAGAAAGAAGAAGCTGGTATCATAACTTGAGCTGTGGGGGGGGACTTGTGTAAGTCTGTTTTTGATGGTATGACCTGGATTTGCAGCTGAACTTGTGAACTGTCTGTGTTTACAAATGAAAAAAAAGAAAAGAAAAGAGAAAATTAAACATGCACACGAATTCTGCCACAGTGCTGGTCTAGAGACGTGCAGATGCCATGGCAGTGGTGGGGCATTTCATGGGGGCAGCACTCACTGATGGAATAAAAACAGCTGAATACAGTTGAGCATGCAGGTCTGAAGATAAAACAATTCACTCCACAATGGGAGTGGTAATTGGAAGACGGCTTTCATTATCTTTATTCTCCTTTTTCTCATCACCATCATCATTAACGCTGTCCTTAATTTGCTATATTTGACGAAACATGCTGATGCTGATCTCAGCTGGGACTCGCCACAGAGAGAAGCACTGCTCAGGCAGACGCTCCCCACAAAAGGTGAAATGTGCATCACCTTGGGCCTCCTTCTCTTAATTCTGGCATCTCCCAGCTCCCCTTCTTTTCTCCTCCTGTTAACCTCGTTCACATTTTAATATCAATCTCAAAAGACCACATTAGTGCAGCACTTCTTTGAGAGTGTTGATTTGTTTTGTCAAAAGCTTTGTTTATCCCAGATTAATATCTCAATAAACAGAGGAGGGCTGCACTGTGGTAAATGATAGTGATTATGCTGCAGAAGGTGTGCAGCCCACGCTGTCGGACGGAGTCTCATGGAGTCTCACACAATGGGAGTTACGCCGCCATTCAAAGCCCTCCAAACCCCTGATTACAATAATAACTCTGGGGGTGCTCATTTACTGCCGGGAATTCACTCTTCCCCTTCTTTTGGTTTTGGTTTCTGTTTGCAAATGTTTAATACGACTGCCGGTGGGGAAAAAAACGGATGAGTGTTAGTTTTTAGAAAGAAGCAACTGAGGAAAGACGGCTTTTGGACTCATCAACCTATCATTAAACGGGGGGCTACAGTCTGTTCATCTACAGCTTTTCATATTACTGTACACATTACTGAGGCAGGGAGCAAAAACTGGTGCAAGCAAGGAAAACTTCAGCAGACGTTCAGAGCTCAGTGCAGTTACAAACCMAAATTTTAGCATGAAAACAAGATCGTGTCCAGGTGTGATAGATATGGAACACCCACTGCCACATATCAGCAAGTTAAAACACAGTTTAAAGAGTTTTTATTGTTGAATCTTTTCACTCACATGAGTAAGATTAAGACTGCATTAGAAATTGAACAGATCTATAATGAAGATTCCTTCACACCGAAGAGGCAGAACATGTATTTAGTTTTTTTATCCTAACATTTCAGGACACATGGATAGACGGGGTGCAATAATTTAGGTCATTTGAGATACTCTGGCATTTCAATGATAACATTTAATATAACAGTATATTAACTAAAACATCATAATTTGTCTTTGGTTCTCCCTTGTTTAGAATAATTTTATATGTCAGTAGGTTGAACTGTTCCTACACATGGCGACACAAGATTAAGCAGAATATAACTGTTGTTCTCCACTTACAGCAGGATTGCGACAGATCTGTGGCACCTCCTCATTTCTTTTACTTTGGCTTACACTGAGAAAAGTTTTTTTTCTTTATAATCATGTAAAATGGTCTTGTAGAATGGTTCTCCATWCTTTTGTAAGGTTTAAAACCAGTTCTAGTTCAGTCTTTTCTTATTTTGTCAAAAAACACTGCATGTTTTTTGTTTGCTAAGCCATTCATTTTATATATATATNTCCGGTGGTATGTAAACAGCGGTTATCATGACTACGGTGAACTCTCTGGGGAGGTATATTGGTCTGCATCTAACAGTCACATACTCCAGGTCTGGGGAGCAGTGGCTGGTGACAATTGCTGTGTTAGTACACCAGGTGTTGTTCACGTACACACAGAGCCCCCCTCCTCTGCTCTTACCGGAGTCTTTCGTTCTATCGTGGCGCTGTACTGTGTAGCCTGTTAGCTCGATGGCAGAGTCGGCTACTTCTGGATGCAGCCAGGTCTCCGTGATTAAAAGAATACAGCAGTCCTTCACTGCACTATGAGATGCAGCCTGTAGTCTCAGTTCATCCATCTTGTTTACAAGGGATCTGGCGTTCGAAAGAAACAGGCTGGGTAGCGGTGGTTTGTGTGGTTGCTACTTACTAATGCTTACTAAGCATAAAATATATAAAGAACCAATTTTAAAAGCGATGGTTCGCTAAATTGTTTACGTGTCGACACAACTTTAATCTTGTGGGTTTGGGTCTTTTTATCCTTGAATGACTTATAAATTGTGTTAAGGGATTTAACAATTACACGCTCCTCTGAAATTAGACTGATCCATGTTATGAGCCGAAATTGTATAAAAAAGCTTCTGAAAAGAAAATCTGCAAGACCTTCAACAAGCCTGGACAATAATCAAAAAGACAACTTTAAAAATAACAACACGAGTTCTTTAAGGTGAAATTTAGAGGAAGGAGCTGGTCAAGACTTTTGTTTATTTCTGTAAATTCACTGTACGAAAGTTGGTGTCTTTCATTAGAAAAAAAGCTGTTAAAACGTCAGTGGGTCTGTCTGTGTCATCTAAGGGGTTTAATAGTTTCCCTCTCRTATCAGACAGAACTATAAAGTTGTAAAACTTAACAGACTTGAGAAGTTGACAGATTTAAAGGTAGAATTGGGCACACAGTGCAGCACCATTAAACCTGCCGAGYATCAGATGTTCCTGAAAATGTTTAAATTTATAGTGTTATTTAATTGGTGCTCATAGTTTTAGAACATTTTATTAAACCAAATAAATAATTTATCGTATACAGTAACACTGAGACATTTATAAAGTTAGACTCATAATAAAAAGCAAGTTCTTCAGTTTAAAGTAAGAACGTAAAAACTTAGTCTCACATGAACAACAACACGTGATTGATTAGTTTAACCAGTGGGTTTATTTAGCGAAACGCCAGCATGTGAGAAATTATGCTCACCCCCAGTGTTTCCATAGGAATTAGAAGGGTAACAAACAGCCAGGTGCTGCTAATCAAATGCATTTAATTAACAGATCATCAGCATGACTGATCGTCTCGGCAAAAGCAGTTTTGGCAGTTTGCTGGTCTGGAGCGTTTGTGTACGTGGAAACACCAAGTGAATTAGTTAGGATGTGAGCAGTATAAAACCCTTTCCAGTTTATTTGGAGTCTATAATTGTAATGTGAGAAAAACTGYTTACAAGAGGAAAACATGGAGGAGAGATTTTAGTCTGTTGGAAGGAAGGATCGTTTCTACAGAAAAGATGAGACGTGATTTAGGTTTGAAAGGTTGCGTCACACAAGGTGAGCGGATCAGATCCTAAACTGAAGTATTCTAGTCTAATGTGAGTTCATCTGTTTCAGGCTTGGCTAAAATGAAGTTGTGCAACAAGACTGTGACCTCAAAGCTCAGCAGCAAATCTAAAACAAAATGGTCCAAGAAAAAAGAAAAAAGAAAGAGTCAAAGTGCTGCAGTGGTTTGATCGAAGTGTGGAGCTCTACTCAATTGAAATGCTGTGGAGAGACCCTAGAGCTGCACAARAATAAATAGTTTCAAACCTCAACAAACTGAATCAGAATTGTGAAGCCGAAATGCATTCAGAGAGGCAGTTAGCTCACATAAAAAACACTTTAGGTTATTGCTGTTAAAGGTGATTCTACAAGCTACATTAACGTATTGTGTTTTGTTTTTTTCACATTTACTTTTGCACTTTGGTTTAGTTTTGGTAAAAACAAATACATGTCAAGTAGTGATGATCATTTAAGATCATCTAAATCATAACAAAATGACTTTTAATGTCCTAAAACATGCTAAATTAACAATTTTAAAGACAACTTTGTTTATTTCATTATGACTACACATATTGTTTCTTTTTTATTATAATGATTTTATTTGTTTCCTTTAATTAAAACTTTCTCGCAGTCATTGCTTTGACAGCCCCCTGGGCCAAAGGGTTTTTTGCGAGTGTTACCATCATTGCAGGTTGCGGCGACCTTGTCTCAGCACATATTATTAAAGATATTAAGAATATAGTCATTATGTTTAAGAGGTTTCTCTCAGAATGTCCCGAAGGTCTGAAAGAATAATAATACTGAAATACTTTTAGCRTAGCTTTTATTTTTTTCCAGCTGGTCACAGCTGTGTTGTTCATTTGAGAAAACAAAGCCAAGCAGCTCAGTTCCTTCCTGAGTCAGCGACCCTCTGAGCTACACATGCAGATTTGACCTGGTGGCTGAGATCATGATTCAGTCAAACAATGGCCTGTGTACAGAGCACACATTGCAAAGTGATCATAAAGATGCATGAAAAGCAAGCCGTCAGTTTACAAGATGAAGTACTGTACACTTGTAGATCGGTCAGAGTTTACAAAAAGCTTTTGGTACCTGAATAAAGGGATGAACAGAAGAGCTTTCTACAAAAACAGAATAATTCCTTGTTTCGCTGCAACAAATCTAAGTATTAGCAGGACCAGCTATCATCAGATCTGCCCATATATGTTTATATACGTATACGTGCACACYGGTGGGGATAATTACTCTGCTGTGTTCGGCTTTCTAAAGCATCAGTCAAGGTTAATTAATCATACCGTGTAGTGTGATCCCTGATGTAATCTTTTAATAACTGCAGTGTGAGTACAGATTACTGATTTCTCAATGCAACTCAATTTGCTCACCATTTGCCAGAGCAATGCACAACAACAGTTCTCTTCAGCATAAGAAACTGTGATCATCAGTTAGATATGACACATCTTACTGAATGCTTCCTTTCTTTATGTCACTGCAAGATCAATATTAAAAAAATATGTTGTCTTGATGCACAATTCATACACTTTTGAGCCTAATTGTGCTTTTCCGACATATCTTTTACATCTATATACAGTGACATGCAGTGACTCACCCATCAGTCTCGTCTTTGTCATGTCCTTTGCATGACACTCCCTGAGAGAGGAGGCTCGAAGGCACTGACCATTCAGTCACCCTCTTTTCACTATAGTGCTACAGTAACACTTCCYGTGCACAAGCGTATCAAACATGAGCAACAAGGCCTGCAACCCCTGCCATGCTCACTTCTTGACATCTGCGAGTTAAAAAAAGGGGCTTTTTCAAGGTCATTGCACATTTAGGGAAGCTTAAAATAGAGCCAGACATTGACAAAGCAGGGCTCACAGCAACTGTCAGCAGATCCCAGGAGATAGAAAGGAAATGTATTAGGTTCAGCGTGAACTCCTATGTGTTTGTGTATTACTGTAATTACGACCATACATCAAGCCACGGGCGCAACCAATCTGTAACGCGTAGCATTTAACACTTGAAAGACCAAGTGATGTGGAAGGCACTTCAAGTCCTTTATTAGTTAGGTCAAAGCAGCATACAGCATGAGCACACAGCGATCAAACCAAACTCGCTTCCTGATTGCAGAGGGGCCACACAATAGTCAATCAGCTGGACAGTAAGGGGGGCATTGTTCAAACAAAAGAGTTTTTAGTTCCTCCCACTTTGACTGGTGAGAGAAATTCTAAAAAGATTGGTCTGGGATTATTTTACGTTCTGGGAAAATGMATAATAATTGCATTTGTATTGCTCAATAAAATGAAAAGATTCTGTACCWACCTACACTGCTCATGTCCCTCAGTGCTTTCTGACTCATGACTGTTTACTGCCTCCTTGTGGTTTCAAATGAACAATTGATGATGGAGAAACTAGTACACCAAGCAGTGAAAATTAAAGCAGGGAAACTTTATTTCACTTCACAAAAGCAACATTTCTAGCATACTAATTGCACATTTTACTACATTAAGCTGATTAAAATATGTCAAATGAAGGAAAGGTTAGTTACTGACAATATTTTGAAACAAAACACTCCCAAGTTGTTAAAACAAGAATACACACGATTTATAGACAACCATATGGCAGAAAAAGTAAAAAGATGTATAAATCTGGTGATTCGAAAAATCATTTACCTCGAAAATAATAATGATAAAAGCAGATTTTTATGATTATAAGCAACACAAAAAGCTAATTAAATTAAATTTAGCAAACTCTAAATCAAACCCTTTATACAAAAATATGTTGCTATATTTTTATATAAGAAACAACAGTGTAACAGTTTAAGAAAGTATGTATATTCTTTATATTTTAATGCTTTTTACTTTAGGTTCTCTAGCAGCCATTATGTGATTCAACTTCTGACATGCATGGTTCACCCATCATTCATTAGTCAAGTCCAGAATTCAAAAAAATAAATAAATAAAAAAATCTCTTATTTAAGAGTTAAATGCTAATGGTCAAACATGACCAGTCTTTGTTGTATCAGCTGTAAGACTTTACAGCAGGGGTTCTCAAACGTTTTGGGTCTGGGGACCCCTTATAAGGTTGAAAAATTTCCAGGGACCCCCTCATAAACCCCACGGTGTTTAAAAAATTATTTACTGTCATTTGAACCCCTGAGTTCCAGGGGAATAGTTTTTTTTGTTTGGTTTAGTGTGTTTGTAGGTTCCCCATATGCACATATTTTAAATAAAAAAATTAATTTATTGAGATTTTTTGAGGACCCCCAAGATATAGCTCGCAGACCCCTGGGAGTCCTGGGACCCCAGTTTAAGAACCTCTGCTTTACAGTGATTATATTTAGATGAAACATTCAACTATCAACATTTTTTTCTGAATCTTATGTCCACATATATGTAAAGTTAAACTCAATTTTTTATGATATTCTGTATTTTTTAAAAACATTGTTCTGTTGGTGTTTTTATTTACCATTATTTAACCAGGCAAATCCCGTTGAGATCTCAGATCTCTTTTTCAAGGGAGGCCTGGGCCTGAAGGCAACCTATTGTACATGTCTTTCGGGGTGGGGGAAACCGGAGTACCCGGAGAAAACCCACGCAAGCACGAAGAGAACATGCAAACTCCATACAGAAAGACCCCAGGTCCGAACTGGGCCGAGAACCCTTCTTGCTGTGAGGCGTCGCCGTCGGTGCTAACCACTGAGCCATCGTGCCGCCGTATTACCTCAACTTTTTAATTTTTTTCTGGTTCTTTTTTAAAGTTTATTCTCATAAAAATATAAAATGTTTTATGGGTGTAAAAGTGGCCATTTTAACAAAAATACTGAACTTGATCCCAAAGAGCATGTCGTATCATCAATATTTCTATTGTCATAATCAAAATTATTATTTTCATCATCCTTTATTATTATTATTATTATTATTATATCATTATTATCACTTTGGTTCTTCTTTGTTTTCTGACTCCACGTCGATTATCTGCAACAACCGAATAAAAAACTGCTCAGTCAAGAGAAAAAAATAACATAAAAGAGACAAATGTAAACATAAAAGTGTAGCTATAAAGATGCAGATTTTGTTTCTGTACTCACCAGTGCACCAGAGCACCTGCTCACGTGGTCAAAGCCAGCCTTGTTCACCAAAGCTTCAGCTCCACCTGTCATGTCCAAACCTGTGTCGACAGCTCTGGAGGCAAGAACAAGGAGGAATTGACACGTGAAAAGCTGCACAATAACAGCAAAGCTCAGTTTGTGTTTACTTTCTGGAAGAAAAAGAGTTCTGAAGTTTAGACGACTCCTTGCTCGGGGGGGAAGTGCACATAAAGGTGCACTGGAGAAATGGTAGCAGCAGCAGGGTCAAATCAAAAAGTAGTGAAAGGGGCTGAGAACTGGAAAGTGATTTCGATTTCTCCTCTGCAACGTGTATGAATGAGCAGAGACACGACAAGCCTCACCGCCGATCCGAGAGCAGTTGTTGTCTTTCAGTCACGCTGTCTTCAGTGTTTTCCTTCCTTGCAGTCTGTCCACTGTCCCCCTCCCTGATGGTGGACGGTTGTTAGTTATCACACAGATACAGAAACATGTCAAGGTGAGAACAGCGGGTTGAATTTTCAAAGCTGACTCAAACAGTTGTGTGCATTTTATTTTTTAAAAAAATCTTCACACAGTTTTATCATTTATAATTTTGTCATCTTACACTAGATAAACAAACTGTTAATCCCTGTTTGATTTAGCATCTGTTCATGTTTTGTTGCGAAACAAATAATCATGACTGGCATAAATATCTTTTTATAGTTCAGTTCTGCGTTCTTTTCTCTCCCTGAATAGTATATAATCTTCAAAACATAAGCTAAAATAATCTTAGATTATTATTAATGATTTAACAATGCGTGAATGCGTGTTTTATATAGTAAAGGTATTGCAAACTCATGCAGATTGGACAAATTATGACGTAAGAAACAAAATCCTCAAAATATTTTCTGATCGATCAGTATCGATGGTCATCGTGTTCTTTAATAACATATTTGGGGGCAAAGTTTGAGACTGCCACCTGCCACTTAAGTTTGAGTTTAAGTGACACAAAAGATCAAATGTTAAACTTAGCAGCTATATTGACTTTACACAAACTACAGCTGAATAAATAAGGTGAATTACATGACTCAAACCTCTAAGTTGTTTTAAACTGATTCAGCCGAGTGTTTTATTTACACTGAGTGTGGACCTGCATTTCACAATTACAGTCTATGTATCTGTAAAACCACTAGAATAAACTGTCTCAAACTCCACAGCTTGATATAGTTCAGGTATGTTTGATTTCACGTTTTGTTAATGCTTTATTTTGGGTATAAATGGGGGTACTGTATAAGTACACAATCACATTCAAAAAAGGAACATTTCATTTATACTCTTAAAAGTTTAAAAGCATAAAACAAAAACTGGGCCACACTGGTTTTGTTTTGCTACAATAATTTTTGTCAAGAATAACAGACACATACCTGATGAGGTTTCTAGTTTCAGTGCCATTTTCCCCTCCTGGATCATCCCTTAAATTCCTGAAAAATAAAATAATCCTTTTAAGATGAGTGGTAATTGAAGTGGGGAAACCAGTGCAGAGAACAAAGACACTGGTTTTGGTTTTGAAAGTCTACCTGTTCATAGGCCTGTGGTGGGAGTGACTGGTGATGTCGGGAGCTTTTGTGTCTCCACTGCAAAGCAAACATTAAGCAAAAGGCACATAAAAGTTTATAACAGCACCTTCCATACCTGCACAGGTCAACTGTTGAACACTTGAACCTAATCTAAAAAAAGGAAAGTGGGGTACTAATTTAAAAATATCGCTTTAGGTTAAGCTGAGTTTTCTGAAGTTTCAGTCTAGAGTGAACGAATGAGGAGCCTTGACATCATTTATTGAATCAATACTATGGAGACAAAAGTAGCTTTTAGCAGATTAAAGTCTAGACTGCATTTTATTATTAAGTGAACACACACACACACACACAGACACACACACACACACACACACACACAC